TACGACATTCACTAAACTAAGGACACGGGATATATTACAATAGATCAATTTACTAGTCGTAGTAGTGTTTGGTCTGGAACAGAGGAAACAAAAAGTCTACGGCTAAAAATCTAAAAAAGAGTTGAGAGATCTGGTCCTGAACCATTTTCCATATCTTCCGAAATCTTCCGTTCGAAATTTACATGATTTTTTTGCAGCGTGTTCTTATAAATTAATCGTCATGGTAACTAGTAATTGATTGATTTACAATGTATTTCAAAATCGAATGTACAGCTGTTCTTAAATTTTAGAAAAAAATAGAAACAGATTCTCGAGCACAATTTGAACAGACTGGCTATTGGCTCATCATACATTTATCGGTTAATGGAATAGTATTGCGTTTATTTGGTTGAGTGTGTATGAAGTTTGAACTATTGTAGAAAAACGCCTTTTTCTCAAAAATCAATTTTTATTGATATACAATTAACCATACGTTTAGAAATTTTCACTAATTTTTATTCATAATTAAGATCCTTCATATGCTACTAATTTAGCTAAAATCCGTTCACTACGAAAAATGTTGAAAATCGAGCTTTTACTAAAATTACTCAAACTCTGCAAAGCTCTGCCAATTAAGTCCAAAGCTATACGGATAAATCAATAAATAATTGTTCAATCACCAGCCAAGATTTTAAAAATCTATCTTTTCAAAAAGGTAGGGGTCTCACGCTATGTTTAAAGGTGACTTTTAGGATTGGGTCATACTTGGACCTCTAGCATCAAAATCTGTGTGGTTTGAAATATTTCAACAGTATAAAATTTCATTTTTCCATTGTTTTATTTTTTACTTAGCGTAAAAATACATTTTGATTTTTCTAAAAAAAATTGACCAATATATTGAAAATTAAAAGAGCACAGTTTTTTCTTCAGATTGTGACTTTGTTTCGGACAGAATTTTCTAGAATGCTTCAAAGGAATATTATGCATAGATTCATGGTGAGGTAGTATTAAAAATGACTTCATTTTCAACAAATATTAAGGGTAGTGCTCTTGCCCCTAGTTCTCATACCTATACCATTATACGAAACGTCAGCATTGAAAGGAACATTTTCAGGACTGGATAGAAAAATATAGGAAATTGCTTTGGCAACTACGTCCCAATTGAAACTGAATACCTTCGGTTTTGTGCTCTTTTGTATAGGAGGTTTTAATTGAGAGATTTCTAAGCGATTTTTCCAATCGTATATTGCACGAGTAGATTTGATTAAATTAGTAAAACTCATAATTGGTATAAGCAGATCACATTGGCTATAAAAAGACAGGTGGAAACTATAGATACTCATGTGATGTGTGGCTATGTACCAAATTTGATATCCCAACGAGCATTTCCATACGATTTGTCCGTGCGTTTGGATACATTAGCTGATATTTGCACATCTATTACGTGAGTACTATTGTAAAACCAACGTCTGAGAAAGCAACAAAATAAAAAAAAAATGCCTCTGGTTTAAAATTTTGTTTAATATTCCTACATTATCAGTATGGAGAATTTAATGATTTTGGTTTTAGGAGAGTTCTGTAGACTATGACTTATAGGATGCTTTAAAACTACACTGTTACTTGCAATGTTACTTGTGGTGTCTAGAATTTGGCGAAAGCAAGTACTTGTTAGTAAGCAATAACAAATCCGTTTTAAAATAACATATATGGTCACTATTTCTGATAATAATTGGCCTACCTACCTTTAATTCACCAACCACCTTGTTTTATTTTCTTATCCCATTGGATCGCGTCTTTTTTTTCCTCTGTTCGGGACCTAACACCACTGCGACCAGTAATTTGATCTATTGTAGTATATCCCGTGTCCTTAGTTTAGTGCATGTCGTATAACTTCATCACTATTGAGAAATGATGAAGTATTCGATTTTTTTACAGTTGTCATTCTCGCATTTATCGCAAGGATCCGACTCTAATTGAAAGGTCCCGCTATTTATACCCTTTGGAGTGTTAAAACACCCTCCAAAGGCGCGCCCTTTGTCAGTCTAAATTCGATTCCTTAGCAACAAAATTAAGGAATGACATTGATAATGACCATGCATCAGAACCCTAGTCTTAACCACTTCAAACTATGGAACAACGAATAGAAGATTTGGAATCACATAGATGAAGACTAATTAACTCATTATTTCCTTGTTTCAAGATCATCCTCGGTGGACAAAGCCGAGTCTTGTCACTATAAACAAGGCATACAAAATAACAAGGACTAAGATGTGTTCCTTGGATTACTGAAAAATCCTGTTCCCCTAGTTTGAAGTAGTCAGGACAAGGAATCTGTTAAGGCACTTCTAATAATTATAAAATTTACCCTAAATGAATTTGTGCCAGTTGAAGTAGGGCACTCATACTCAATTTATTTTGCATGCCACAAAGCAGAGAAGAAAGCCCGTAGGTAGGATTTCTCACACACCATATAGGGCACACTCAACCTCTCTTCACTGATAGCCCGTATCAGATTATCGAATAAAAATCAGTACAATAAAGCTACCGACGAGTGTACATCTAAAATTCTATCGCAGTAAATAAAGTTCCGAGTACAGTAGTTCAGTGTACCACGTATCATCCACAATTCGCATTTTTTGGTTACGGTGAAAACCACACCCGAAGGACACTAGCCGCCGCGAGTCCACCACTAGTCCGGAGAACCAGCTCCCCTACAGAATCGTTGGTAGATCTTACATCCCGTAACGTACCACGAAAAGGTGATCTACCCACGTTACCGGGATGGATCGTGTATTACAAATTCCTAATATCTTGGCAGGATTCAATTTCGGTAACTAGATAAAGTACACTGGGGGTAAGTGGGATCATTGGCTTGTGAGACAGAAATCTTATTAACTCGATCTGATTTTCACTAGAATGTGGAAGTTTGTATGGAGTTCTGTCTAATGCATAAACATTTGGAAGACATTTGAGCAAAAAATCGATTTTACAAAATCATCGCTTTGGAACCATGATTCCAAATTAAGTTTCCCTTCTTATTTTGTATATAGAAATAAGACAATAAAACCAATTTTGCTGAAATATTTCTACGGCAAACAGAATAGATTAATTAATCTTCTTCTGATGGAACAATGCGATATTTTGAGGGTATTTAAACAGAATAATCATAAGCACCACTTACTCCAGATAATTAAAGGCTGCGGGGTAAGTGGGACCACGCGATAAATGAGGCATTTAAGATTAATTTTACTAAATACATCTTGTGTGCGTGGTAGGATAGGTACTAGACTGATGCAAAATTTGAAATTTTCGCTTCACAGTGCGCAAACGGTTCCAAATTGGGCCCTTATTAGCCTCCCAAAATTTGAACTCATTTAGTGAGAAACTGACTTGGCACAAACCATTTGAAGTTTATATGGGAATTACTATGGAGAAACCATAATTTCGGTTCATGTCTATCTCAAAATTCACCAGTTCACTCTTTTTTTGGAAATTGATAGCTGAGCTTCTTTTCTGAGCTACAACTTTGTTGAAGAACAGTTTTCGATCAAATGTAAGGAACAAAAGTTATTAATGATTCAAGTCACTGATGTCTTATGATTATGCTCAATCAGCTGTTCCGCAGACAACATTGGGTTTTATGGCGCGTAGAATAGAGGACAAAAATCATGGCTAATATGTCACACTGCAGAATACAGTGTTGCCCACAATACAGTTGCTCAATCTTGCCATAAGATTGTCAATCTCTTAAATAATTAATAACTATTTAATTCGACGTTTGGCTGAAAAAAGAATTTCTGCAAAGTTATAAAAAAATCCCATAAGAATAGCAATAGAATTATTTAACAGTACAATATGTAAAAAGGCTGACAAATAATGAACAAAAAGTTTTGTTTTCCCACAGTAATTTCCATATAAACTTCAAATGGTATGTGCTATGCCAGTTTCTTATCAAATGAGTTTAAAATTTCAATGGTTAATCAGGACCAGATTGGAAACCGTTTGAACACTGTGGAGCGAAAATTTCAAATTTTGCATCAGTCTAATAGGTACATTAGAATGGATGCCATAAACTCATTAGAAAGTAACATATTGTCAGATTTAGTGATGCTTTAGGATAAACCATCAAATTAATGTTATAAAAGGCCTGAATGTATACTATCTCTTTCTTTCGTATAAAAATGATACATTTTTTCTTTAAACATCAGTTCATTTTACTATATACATTTACTGAGATGTAATGTGATTGAAATACACACGTTTTTCGAAGACCTTATACGTTTTCTTGTTATGGAAATTCAATGCAAAAGTACAATGAGTGGTTTTGTTCCTGATAGCTGGGTTAGTTTTCAGCTCTTGTGATTGAGTTACAGAGTTTGTCCACCTTATGTTTTTGTTACTCAATTTCGAAATCATAAAATTGTTAGTCAAGCTCATGGAAAGTAATCAAAACAAGTGTTCCCACTTACCCCATACCCCAAGTTGAAAAACTTACCACCTTTCACTTCGTAAGTGAACCGGCATTGTTTTTGGGACTGTCATACGAGTTTATTCATACCACAAGATTTAAATTCGATGTACACAGTATTGGTCTAGCGAGGTTTAAGCGTAATTGTTGATTTTTTAGGACCCACTTTCCTCAGTTTTAGAATCATAGTTAAAGATGATTTTCATGCCAGTTAATGATCCCTTATATTGATTTTCTATCAGTTTCATTTTTCTTCTATAACTGACCTCTTCCATTTTGAGTTGTGGAAGGGTAACTCTAATTGGACAATATTTTTAAAACAGATTCTCACACTGTTTTTCTATCAATACGGTCTTCTTTGCCTATTTACGGATCATTTTGCGTGTTTTGTTCGAATGACTATTTGAAAGCATTTCTTTAGTCTTAGAATATTGCCATTAGGTGTGATTTTTACTGCAACGATGCCATTAATTTGAAACTGGTCTGTTTCTCGTATCAAACAGAGTCACACTTAATAGTCATTAATGATTATTATTATTTTTATCATACTTACCCATTCGAAATGATGATATCATTGCACTCACTAATACACCATATAATACTGAACAAAAGCACACTAAATACAATCATCTTCCCCCCGAAGCCTTCCATGGACGTTGGTTTTCGTCTGTTCACTGTTGTCTAATGAAATCTTCTCCGAACAATCAGCGTTCAACTTCCAAACCGAAAAAGAAAATTCGTTTCAAATCTCAGCGATAATCACCTCCACTAGAACAACGCGCCGACGAAACACTGTCTATTCTCGACCGTACGCCAGCGTCGAATAATCTTCCCTTGGCGATTTTGTCATGCTGTCGATGATCGCGTAATGGCATGATTATTGCCACGGAATTCATATCACCCTGCGCTCATGTGTAGAGCAGTAACGGAATCAGCAACATCGTATCGTCGTGCACTGCCAGGATAATGTGCAAGGACAGAAACAACAGTTTCCATTTCGCTTCACATTTCAGAACTTTCCGATGGAGTTTTTAAGTTACATTAACCATTGTACGGGTGCAGAATTTCTTAACGTCGAGGACGAAACTATTTGGAAGATGATGGTTCTCTTCGCAACATTCCTTGCAAACGGTTTATTATCTTTCTTTCGCGGAATTGTTTGGCGGGAAATCGATGCAATCGTCTGCTACCACCCCACACACGACTGGAACGAAACGCACTCGAAGAATGGAAATGGTTTCCAAAACACAGTGGCAGCTCTTTGCTAGCAAACGGTTTAGCCCCGCACTCTCTTCAACACAAGCACCGGAACGTTTGCTTCGATTTGCGAAAATGCTAATAGCCCCTCTTCTGGAAAGCGAATGAGCCGGAAAATTAGCTTCTCCAAATATCCGAGAAATATCGGATCCCTCTCCAGCCAGCATTCAAAGTTCAGCAATTAATTTCACTTTTATTTTCACTTTTCACCACCTCCGACCGGAGGGAATCACTCGCAAAACACCTGACGGAAGCTGAACATCCTCCTTGCCACACACCGAACGGATAACGGATTTCCATCAACAGTGGTTTTGCTGGCTAATACACCCTCTCTCTAATAGCCAATGGGGGCGACCTGTTCTCGCTTGGACCGATGCTTGTTACCGTCTGATGTCCGTCGTCGTGCGGGTGAGCAGCATGTGGTGAGTGCATCAATACACGGCGGCACAACACACGCGGCGCAATTTTTCGAAAAAAACAAACCAGAGCCACACGGACGGGGAGCGGGAAAACATCGCCGCCGCAATGCCACACAACATCGGACCTGACTCTTGAAGTCGGAGTGTGTCTTGTACGCTGAAAGTGCGCGCGCTCTAGCTAGACGCGATGATGTTGGGTCCTATACTAGGAGAGCTGCTGGTAAAACTCGCCAACTGATAGAGATGTGATGCTGCGAGTGACATTCTGTTTTTGATGGAAAGAGAGTGAGACCTTTCGTTTCAGGTTGTCGTGTGACATGCTGGCGGTGATTTCAAATGTTCGGGTGCTTTACTGGTGGTGTTTTGTCACATGGTGAGAGTCTTAATGAGCATGCTCGACAGGTGTTGACTTGGAGTCTACTGTTTGGAGATTAAACTGTGTGGTACTTCAATGTTTAATTATTGTGGGATTGATGAATATAAATGCTTTTAAATTGTACTTGATTTCTCAAATGATTGCTGTACCTTCTTTCATGCATATAACCCACGAAACAATTTTTTCTTTTAGATTTAAAAAAAGTAAATCTTTTTAACTGGAAAAATTACACACTTAGATTATTTTACAGGAGTCAGTATTTTTACTGGGTTTTTGAATTGCTGAAAAGTCGGTAAAATTCAAATGATCGTTATCCGTAAGGATTTTCAACAGATTGACTGGATTAGTGTGTATGCTTGGTCAAGTTTAGAAATATTCGTTATGCATGATCATGAGCATTATTTACTGCCCTCGGTTGCTATTCCGTTTTTTTTTTCAGATCACTAGTCATACCGCAAAAACATTACAATATAGTATATCTATGCCAAATGATGAATCCATTAGACACGGCCTTTTTGATTTGCATTAAACTTTGCATAATTGTTTTTTATCATTCACATTTGAGCGAAATTTCGGCCATTTTGGATCTTGATTTTTTTTTCAAAATGGCGTCTTTAACATTTTTTAATAAATTGTAGCACGAAACCGTCACTTCTGATCGAAATGACATCGGACACACCTGCCGTTCTACGCATAACTGTCCCATGTTCTATGCAATTCTTATGCACCGTAGGACTCTTATGAGTATAACGGCAGACAAAGTTGTAGAGAAAATTATAGCCTTTGAGTAAAAAAAAAACTTAAATACAGTCAATTCTGTATATCTTGATCTGCGACCACTTTTTTATATGTGTCGATGGTTATCTCGGTGGTCCCTTCAATATCGATGATCTCGATGGTCCATATCTCGATGGTGCCTTCAATATCGACATATGGAGAGTTGACTGTATCTTAAAATGTCCTTTTTATTTATTTTTTTATATATAAGGTCTCATCAAAAATACAATCTTTAAAAAATATTGTGAACCTCGGTGACTTGAAAATTAGCATCAACCGTAGAACAACATCAAATTTATAATCTTTTTGTTAGATCACTTTTTATGCATTTTTTTTGCACCGGAAAGAATACTTGAGATATTTTCAATTGTTTTCTAAGCAAAATTTAAACAAAAAAGTGTAAAGAAATACAAATATTTTACCAAAAGTTGTCGTTTAACGATTTTTGTAAATTTAGAAGTGTTCAAAAGTTTTCAAGATTTCAAAAGTTTTAATTTTTTATGAGCTTTTTTTTAAAACAAAATAAATATTTGAGTTATTTGTGTGATATAATACTTTCTTGTTTTTTACTCAAAATTAAGAAGACATTTTGTGTATAATGTTTCTAGAAATTATTTTTTTCTTCATCTTTGCGTATGACGTCATTTTGATAAGAAGTGTCGTTTTCGTGCTACAATTTATTAAAAATTAATAAAGACACCATTTTGAAATAATTTACAATATCTTTAATGGCGCAATTTTAACATACATGCTTATAAGCAACAATTATGCAAAGTTTCATGGAAATCGAAGAAGTTCCAGTCAAAAATTATTAATTATTTGCTATTTTTTGATATTTCTACCAAGATGTACCCACATTTTTATCTGATTTTCTGATAGTTTTTGAAATCTAACTATACCTAAAATTTAAATTACCCTGAAATAGTATTGCAGATTTGGAATATGCGATATATTTTCTACAAGAATTTATCAAGAGTTTATGAATTGAGTAGTTCATAATGATTTGGTGAGCGGCTTGGTTGCGTGACGTTACTACATTTTGCATCTCTCAGCTTCACTTCTAAACAACTATTAATCAACACGTTTTGAGCTAATCAAATCAGAATCTCTTGATCAATTTTTATAGGAAATTTAATGCACTTTTACAATCTGCAATTAAATTTAGGGGTTACTGTCACAGGGCGACAGCTGTTGTAGTAAGCATGAAATCAGCCGGAACGGCTTTGACATAACTATCCATATGAATATCACTAGGGAAATGTTGAAACTCTTACTTTAATCTTAATAAATCAACTGTATTGAATAACTATTTGCATTGTTTTAATATTGAAGATTAGTTTTCTAAAGACCGGTTCTCGATTAGCTGGCGTATTTAACAAAAAAATCCTGCAGAACATTGAATATCAGTGGTCCCTTTACGATGTCAAAGTCATTTGCGCACTGACATTGAGGCGAATGATAATGATATTCTAACTGGCTCTTAAATAAAGAAAGGTATGATAAGATATTCTAACTATGTGAACTGATGCTGACATCAGTTGGCGAGTGAAATTCAGCATTTTGTAGGTATTAATATTGGTTTTTTGCAGCACTGGTCCTGAGATCTTGGTTGCACCGAGAGAACTTGGAAATTATGAACCTTCGGAAGAAATTCATAAAATTTCGCAGAAGTTGAGAAAAATTTCAAGATGTGGAGCTTTGTTGTTGTAGGTTGTAATAGCTACGGAAAATCTTGGAAGTTCAGGGATCTTCGTAGAAGTTGATGGAACTTCTCACAACTTCAGAGACGCTCAGGTAGCTTCGGATAAGCTCAATGGATTGAGAACATCGTTTGCGTTCATGAAAGTTTGTGGAAGTTCAGGGTCCTCCGTAGAAGTTCAAGAAACATCGTAGATTTTTAGCGAACTTGGGTGATATTCAAGGATTTTTAAATAAGATATTAATGAAGTCCTCTGGAAATTTTTCAAAGCTTACGGTTGACCAATTATTATTCTGAAGATCGGTTCATAAATTCAAATATCGTCCCTCAGATATTCTTCCAAATAGCAAGTTGATCAGAATGTATTCAACAGATCTCCAACTAAACGAAGGTTTCAGCAAATGTGTATAATTGGGGCAATCTAGAATTGTATTTAAATAAATACTGATTTTGATAATATGATTCATACTCGACATTTTCAGGAAGAAGCCAAAAAATAAAGACAAAATCTTCATTTCTACCATGTCTGCTTAAAATTCAAACAGTCTTCTCAAAATATGAATCAAAAAATGTCTTACCAGAATTTTTAATGCCTTCAAAACGAAACCGTTGTCTGTATTTTGGGATCAATATGACTCCAGGCAATTTTTGCAATTCTCATTATCAATCATTACCATCAAAACGATTTTTTCTCTGACATTTTTGCATGCTGAAGTATTTTTGATATGACTGCCTCTTAGTTAAGACATATTTAGAATTTATTTTCATTTTGAAGGATTTTCGCTAAGAACTTAGCATTATTTTAGAGGTACAGACTAGTAATCCTCAAAGGGATGGGCGGAGAAAACAAAATACAATTCGGCAGCAGGAATTTGTGCCTAAATTATCTTGCAAACCTTGCTAGAAGCTAGCATTTCACATGCCTTGTACTTTTGATTCAATTTACGTGCAAAATAATAATTGAGCGCATCGCAATATTTTGCACATTTATTGGTGCCGTTAATCAACCAACTAAGATCAATTAATCAAAAGAGTTAGCATATTGTTTTAGATTCGATTGAATTGATTGATTGAATTTCTGGTCGATTGCAATACTCTCAAATTTAATGTAGTAAGAATAAGAAATTATCGGAAAAATTCTAATGGGAAGGTTCGATTGGCTCACATTTTGACAGTTCATTTGTTTCAAAACATTCTCTTCGTCCATCTCTCCCTCTGAGTATTTCTAGTACAGACAAAGGGCTAAGTGACGACAACCAAATTTGATCATTTCTGTATTATCAACATTGTCATTCAAAGTATTTTAGAATAGAAATTTTGTCATGGTTAACTAATGTTATTTTCGATTTTGCCGTTATAAGTCCAGGTCATTTTTATAGTAGCAAATACCAACTTTCGCCATCTGCTGAGTAAGTTGTATGAATCTGGCAAACAAATCTCACACTTGAGATTCTCATGTATTTTTGGTCTTCGAAACTTATCGGTGATTTTTGTGCAGTTGAATTTTGCAGGTTTTGCCTGGCGAATAAACTCACACATGAGATT